AAGTCAGGCTTTTTGCAGCAATGAGCAGCTTGTATTCTTCTGGCATTAGTTTGTTTCAATGTCTCAACACAAACAAGACATGAGAGCACTATCGTTATAAAAGCGTGTATCAGTAATTATTAGAGATGCTCCGATCGCCAATTTTGGGGCCGATCGCCGGAATCAGTATCGGCCGATCAGATCGAGTGGCCGGGCCTATGGGAATCTTCCATTTAAAGTGATGTTTAAAACTCAGGTAATGGAGCTCATTCACTGGCGCTTCCACAAACAACCGCCAACATAATTATTACATTCAAATGAAGTACATTAATCAAGTTTACATTAACTTTGGATAATAACACGGGAGAAATGAGCTCTCTCTCTCAGAAAATGACAGTAAAACAAAGATAATGAATTCACCTAAAAACAATGAACATGGGAATTCTGTTCTTTAAATGTATTTCTTAAAATCTGCACTTTATTATTTACATTTGTCTACTTTTGTTTCTTAAGCAACCAGCAACTGAAATTCCGAAATGTTTTTTTTTACTTGATCACACAACACAAAATCAAAGCTATTTGATTCAAAGTTAAAAGTGAATCATTCTGTCAATAACAAACATATAGCTCGACATTGATGATTTCAATCATCAGCCGAATCAAACGCTGTGTCTGTCCAATCATCTGCCTCTTTTTATCACTGCGTCATTGTCCACACAATTTCCATTGTGGTGCATATCTATATAATAATAATCTCAGGAGTTACCAGAAAGGTGAGACAGACTTTTGGAATAAGTTTAGATGACTCATGTTAAAGGCTAAATCAATAGTTTTTGTGCAAACAAATGAGAAACTGTACATTAAAATGTATGATTTATCTTTACATTATTACAAATATTCTGTTTTGGATGTGAGGGTATCTACATTTTGATTACTGATGTTATAACTTCAGCATCACTGCTCCATGTCTGCTGTGCTATTCCCCTTAAGGATGTAGCAACAGTGACGTCATACAGGAGCGCAGGGGGGGGGTTCAGCAGAGAGGGAACACAAGTTTCTCTGACGAGTTGTGAGCAGCCTCAGTGTCAGTTAGGGACCCGTGGTGCAGAGGCAGGGGCGGCGCCAGGGGGGAGCTAGGGGGTGCTAAAGCACCCCCCAGGATTGCCAAAGCACCCCCTAAGCACCCCCAAGAAATATGTGTTTGTTTTTTTTCAACACAGGTGATATGATTAGGCCAATGGCCAGCACCCATTCGATTTTTGACCTACCCATAGGCTAAATTACTTTGTGACACTTGCGTGACTTCCTGTTAGCTAGAGCGCCAAATGATTTGCTAACAGCAAAGTGAAAAAATTATCGTTTTTTAGTCCTTAAATGTCCAACACTCAATCAAAACCACCTAAAAGCGAGAGGGATTCTGCACATAATAGGCCTCCTGAGTACAAGTAGCTTACTTCTGGGTTTCTGGGTTTCATTCAAGCTCTGTGTGTGTGTGTGTGTGTGTGTGTGTGTGTGTGTGTGTGTGTGTGTGTGTGTGTGTGTGTGTGTGTGTGTGTGTGTGTGTGTGTGTGTGTGTGTGTGTGTGTGTGTGTGTGTGTGTGTGTGTGTGTGTGTGTGTGTGTGTGTGTGTGTGTGGCACGAGCCATTTTGTGTGCCTGCGCGAGCGAGCGAGAGTGAGAGCTCGCGCACCGGTGGGTATCTACCGGAGATCGTTGTGGTTAGCATCTGGTGCTAGCTAGCCAAGTTAACGGGTATAAGGAGCTTTTTCAACAACAAGGTAGAGGGAGAACTCTCTCCTGTCAGACTGAGTCTCAGATAACCTCAGCTCAGGTGAAGTAAAGGACTCTCTCAGTGTTTAGATCGTTAACTTTAGTCTAGTTATCTCAGTGGGTCTCAAACGGTTTGTTTTAAAAGGGGAGTGATTTGTAAAATATCTATAAAGAAATAGAAAATCTGTTTACAGTTCTGTTTCATATGGGTGTTGAGAGATGTATCCATAGATCTCTTAATGTTGCTCTCAAAGTGCACCAGATTGATGCTTTTAACTTCAATATTTAAAAAAAATCTTCCCGGGATAGCATGCCCCCGGATCTCACTAGAGGAGGTGAGGACCCTCCTAGAGGAGGTGAGGTCCACTCCCCACTTGTAAAAATAGCACTTTAGCCCTGCTTACAGCCGTGAGCTGATTATCGAGCCTTCATTGTAACAGTCGCGTGTACACTGTGTGTGCGTGTGGGGAGTGTTGCAGTAGAAAATTCAACTGTAGCGCTGGTGCATTAATGGGAAACCCTTAATGTTTGAGCACCCTCTATAAAACGTCAAGCTACCCCACAGCACCCCCTAGAGAAAATCTCTGGCGCCGCCACTGTGCAGAGGAGCATTACATCATGATCTCTCTGACTCTATACCAGTGGCGAGCCGTCAGGGCCCTCTAGGCCAGGGGTTCCCAAAGTGGGGGTCGCGAGAGGATTACAAAATAAAAATTCTAAATCAAATCAATTTTTTTAAATTATTATAAATAATAACGTGTGCATAGATATTTTTCAGGGGCGGACTGGCCATCTGTATAATTTCCCCGTAGCGAGGCTCCCCCCGTTGATAATCCACTAGCTCAGTGTTTTTCAAACCTTTTCATACCAAGGACCACTTAACCAATAAAAAAAACACTCACCTGACTCCACAAATATCCAAAAACAAAAGGCCTGCTTACCACTCCAACAGTACATAATAGCCTAATAATTACAGCTTAACCTTCTCTATATCGCCTCGTTCACACAATAAATCAACAATACAAATACAACTACAGATTATATAAGCATTTAGTTCAAATGTGATTTAAAATGCTCACAGGTTTTACACCTCTTATGCAATTTTGACTACATTTATTACAGAGTTTATGTCCGAGCCAACAGACTCACAGATCGTTGGCTACTGAGAGATATGCAAAATACACCGCATGTAGTACGACACCTCCGCTGTGGATTTTCAAAACAAAATACAGTAAAAGGTCGCAGGCCCAAGTTGAACTCTGAGGTCTAAGCCATTTTTTCACATGTTAGGCTCCCCTTGGCTTTTTTTTTGTAAAAATGCTATTAAAACATGAACCTTGGTGACCATCGGCGGGCTGCCTGCATGGTCTGCCTACAAAACAAAAATACGTTTATGCAGCCCCAACAACAGCCTCTGATCATCAACAGACGTCATGCAATGCTTCATTGGATGCATATATTAGATAATAATCTCTATCTCACTCCTAAAACATCTAAATCTACTTTCAGCATGGATAAATGTTCATAAAATACATCCATTGTTTGTTCTATATGCTTCTTGAAGTCCTAAAAAACCCATAGTTTTTCTAGAACAGATTCAAATCGCCAGAAAATGGTACAAACAAGTGGCAACATGTGTGACAAAGGTGTTGCGCTGGGCTATATCATGCAATCAAAAGTGAAACTTAAGCTCGCTCCATTGCAGAGATATTCCCGTGAGAGTGCGGAAAACTTTAATTAATTAATTTGAAAGGGGTCGCCAGTCTCTGGCACTGTTATTTTTGGGGTCGCGGGCTGAAAAGTTTGGGAACCCCTGCTCTAGGCCCGCAGAGGGCCCGCTATATGTAACTCCACGAGAGAGTAATGTTAGGTGACAGTACCTGGGCCGGCCCTTGGCACTGGCGAACTAGGTGGTCGCCTAGGGCGCCAGATCTGGAGGGGCGCTGCGCTGGGAGAAAGAAAATAATTTAAAAAAAGAAAATATTAAAAAATGTATTCATTTCTGCCCTTGATGTAATTACATTAATAATTGAATAAAGTACCCTTTGCACCCCGGGCCGGCAACATTTTGCATTTGCCCTGTACGATGGGCGCTGTAAGGGATGAAAGTGGTGGATGTTTATGGGCTCAGAACAGTCTCATAATACACACATGCACACAGAAGGATTCACACTTGTATTTCCGGATCCACACTTGTGTTTTTCAATGCACACACAAATGTGTTCCGTTTCATATACATGTAAATAAAATCCAAATACAGAAAAAAGTTTTACATATGTATATTTGATCCTCACATATTTGTTTTCCGTTTAAATCCTCTGAACCTGCAAACACAAACCGCTTTCTGTGCACGGATCGCTGTGCATTCGTGTGTGGATTTTTTGAGACTCCCCTGATGGTCACCCGATTCATACTCGTAATGTTTTCTATCTAGAGCCAATCAGATGTCTCCTTCATTCTAAGCCAATCACATGAGCGTGCGCCCACGAGGGTATGATTTATTGCGTTCATGACGTAGCTCTTCATGTACGCATTTTCCGTAATAGTGTGGACAATTGTAAACATGGATGGAGGCTAAAGTATCCACAACATAAAATAATATATTAAAATATAACCTCAATCTTTCTTCTAGACATGTTAAAAGCTTGCTTGAATGGGTTATTGGTTTCTTTTGTTCTCTCGTCTTTGAAATATATAAGGAATGTGTTTGAGTCTAGTAGAACGAGGGTATTACAATTGAGCAATTTCTACATGTATTATGTATTTATCATGTATTCTTAATACTATTACAAAAATAAACATGTAATAATGTTTTAGAGGAGGACCTCAAGCTAGCAAACTCAATTTCTTGCTTTAAATCTCTTAAAACTAACTTATCTTATGGGCTTTTTCCTAACTGATGGTGTTTGTTATTGCTTTATAAATTCATGTATGTTTATATCTTTTCTAAATCAAGATTATGTGAATATGATTTTTTTCTGTTGGGTGCAATTCATTATCAACAAGAGATAAGATAAGTCAAATAAGTACTTTATTGATGGCAGTATACAAAAAAAATAAAATAGTGTATCAAAAAGGCATGCCATTAAACAATACAAATTAAAAATTAAAAACTGTATTGCAGCCAGCATAAACATACATGGCATTGTAAAAATAAAAATAAAATGAACATTTTAAAGAACAAGAAAGTACAAATTTTAAAATTAACTAGAAAAAATATATATAATATGTACAATAACTATTAAGGTTATTTTAAGTTGGACGAGGAGGAGACGGGCCACGTCGGCTGCCCAGTCCCCCTAGCACCTCGCAAAGAGTGCGCAGGAAGGCTAGGTTGAAGGTCTCTGTTTGAGCGGCCTCCTCCCTTCTCAAGACGGCCTCCTCCCTTGCCTCCTCCCTTCTCAAGGCGGCCTCCTCCCTTCTCAAGGCGGCCTCCTCCCTTCTCAAGGCCGCATCCAACTCCCATCTCCGCTCAGCAGACGCTTTGGCCCAGTCCAAGTGCCGTTCCTGCTGGGCCATGTGCTGTTCATGGTGCCGTTCCTGCTGGGCCCGATCCTCTCCTCCTCGTTTCCTCTTGCCTGGGTGACAATAAGATAATAATTAGCAATAAGGAAAAAACACAGGACAGGTACAGGTCACACAAGGATATAAGAATAACATGTATAAACAGAACAACAGTAAGGTGAACTAAAGAAAGTTCTGGCCCTAGATGTTTACAATGATTGTGAAAGTGAATTACATTATGTCCAGCCTGTTGATAATGAATATAAATATATGTATATGATTGGATGTCACACACAACTGTACTAGCTGCTTACTAGCTAAGACTTTACTTGTAACAGAGCATTTCCACACAGTGGTATAGCTTATTTTAATTACTGATGATGGATGATCCAAGGTTTAAAAAAACAAAACACAATTCCAGTCGTTTTGCCATTTCTATTTCTTACCTAGAACCACACGCTGCGGTGTCGTGATGGCACTCGGTGTTGGTGGTTGAGTCGGGTTAGGGTCTTCGGCTGGGGTCCGTTCTGGATTCAATGACGATGTGGAGGGAACACTGCCATCACCCGTTGTTCGGGAATGTTCCTCCTCACAAGTCCCAATGTAATCATCTAGAACAGCAAAATGACTTGTTAATTCCACAAACTACTGCAGCACAATACTAAATAGCAACAACAACTATAGAAAAGAAAAACTGAACGTAAACAATGGCACATATGGTGTTAGCAAACAATAGACTACTGCAGCACAATACTAAATAACAACAACAACTATAGAAAAGAAAAACTGAACGTAAACAATGGCACATATGGTGTTAGCAAACAATAGCTCTAGCTAAGGCTATCTGCCTATGTAGCTCTTCGGGGCTCGATAAAAGCATGGGTTGTCGAACATTAATGTAAGGATAAAATAGACTTCTTTGTTAGAAGTGAGCGTACCTTGCAGGGACTCCAGTAAAGCCGTTGCAGAGTCCAGGCCTCCCTCCCTCCCAACGTTGGCCGGTCTATGGCCGTAAATCTGGTCCAACAAGTCGAACCACTTCCATTGTTTGCGACCCGCACCACTCGTGTTATTGTTGTCCTTTATTATGCGATATTCACTCTTCATCTTTTTCAGTGTTTCCCTACACTGCAGGAAAGTCCTCGAAAATCCGCGTTCGGACATCTGTGCAGAGACAGGAACACTTCCTGGAACACTTTTACATTTCGCATTGTTCCGTCGAGCTCCTGCTGGATTTGATCATCCCCAATGAGATGTAGGAACGTCGTCACCTCCTCGGTCGACCACGGTGTGCTTTTCTTATTAGACGTAGCGATTTTTGTAGCTCCTCCGTTTACAAAATGCTGTTTATAAAAATGCTGCAAGCTTGCTTCTAAATATATATGCGACGCTAGGGATGAACTCGCGCACGATCTTGTGACGATTCTCTCTGACCAATCAGCAGTCGAGAGTGTTGACGTCACTAGTTCAGCCCTGGCCCTGGTCTGATAGAACCACGATTTTATGGGGCCGGAAAAAGACGGAAAAAGTACCCGCTAGCCGGTACTAGGCTATATGGAAAGGCCACCAAAAACTGGCCTGGCCGCTTGAGGACGGTTAAGGACGCTTAAACGGGGCTACCCGCTGCAGTGGAAATGCGCCATAGGTGCCCAAACCACCTCAACTGGCTCCTTTCGACGCGTATTTGGCTCAAAATAACTATTTTTGGTTAAAAAGAACACAATGAAGGAGGAGATTCAGGTGATAAGGTGGGGGGGGGGGTTATCTTGGTTGGTGATTGGCTAATGGTTACACAAACCAAAAAAACGTTATGACATCATAAAGTGGCCAAAATCTGATCAGCTCATTTTCAGACAGGTTTTTATAGAAATGGATCAGGACAAAAAGTGAGTGAATCTTTTTCCCTGAAACTTTCAGATTCTCTTTACACATGTTGATGTAGAAGATACATGAACAAGAGGATTTTGCAGAATAGGTGACTTTTAAGTGAATACAAAAGCATGAGCAACAACATATACATAAAGTTGATAAAAAGAGAATATATACAATTAAATAAAAGTCAAATTAAAAAGGCGGTTATTGAGTTGGCCTCAGGTCTTCTGGAAGGCTGTTTTCACCATAGTGGGCCATACAAATGAAAATATGCCTCACCAGGTATGATTCAAATGACAATACCAGAAAGCCTGAGGTTTTTAACTTG